CAGCGGCTGCAGAGAGGGCTGTAGATTCTCACTTAAAAGAGAGAAACCGCCTCAGGAAGAGGAATGTCACCCAGATGCGATTTGGGAGTGTGCGGACTCTGGGCCCTCCTGGTGGCAACTGCCCCAGCCCCTGCTTCAGACACTGCCAAACACACAAGCCATCCAAAAATCTCCTTCGCAGTGTCTGCACTTTTGCCCTTCTCATGGATTCCAAAGGCTCATTGAAGGGACCAAGGAGTGAGAAGGACATTCCAGCGTGCTGCTGACAGCACAGCTGCCTGCCCCACGTCTTGTGCCAAGCGGCCTGGGCCCCTCCTTTTCCATCCCCAACTCCCCAAGGAACCAGGAACTAGGGAGGACAACTGGGTTTATTTTAAACTTAAAATTGAAGGTTGCTCTTTAACAACAACAAAACAGTCCCCTCAGATTCTAGGCTGCCAAAGTCAATGTCTTAAATAAGAAACCAGCGGGCGCTCCTTTCCCGATTTACTTTTAGGGGAAGGAAGCCACAGCCAAATGTGGAGTGGCGTACCTGGTGGCCCTTGTTTGCTGCCTCAAGCCTCCCTCTCACTGTCGGGCAGGGTCAGTGCAGGCCGGTGGAGGAGGCCTGCGCCCAGCAACCACTGTCCATGCCCTGCCTTCATCCTTGGACCTGGTACATCTCTTTTAAGGGGCTTTTAAATAAAAGTGACACCTGCTCAGTTGAGAAAATTTGGGAGCTGCAAGAAAACATGAAGAAAAAGTCAAAGTAGTCATCTCGCTTCTCGAGATGCTCTTTTTATTCATTGGATATTAGTTTTAGTTAGTCCCAACTTTTTTTCCTTTCTCATTTTCGGACACATTTTTACAGCACTTTGCACGTTGCGGAGTGTTTTTCTGTGGTTTTTGGTTTTTGTCTTCACCCACGTGCAGTAAGTTGGGTAGGAAAAAAATCCTTATCACCTCAGAGCAGAGATGAGGGTTGAGATGATTTGCCCTGGTTGACCAGCCAATGAGTGGTGGCCTTGTTAGGATGAAATTGCCCACCAGAAAAATTCTAAAACCAAACATGGATGGTGTGGGGTATCTGTGATGTGTCTTGTCCACTGAAAGGGCAGTTACCAAAAACTCAGAGCATATGCTTTTGGGAGAGACCGAAGAGAGAGGAGACCACTCCAGGCTGGTAGGTGGCAATTTTAAAAAGCAAGAAGCTTACATAAGGCTTGTCTTGTGCAACCACATGATGAGGTCTCTGCACCACCTGCCAGAACCTTAAAAGTTTATAGAGAGGCCTTAGCCAGCTTCGGTCACACGTACCATCCAGATGGTCTCAACAGTACTTTACTCTCTCAAGGCTGCATCCTTGAAAATGGCTCCCACTGTGGGGACAGTGGATACAACACATTTCAAGCACAGAGGAGCCTCAGATTGCCCAGGTCCAGCTCAAGGGTCAACCAGTGGTCATGTCCTCTTAGTGACCACCTCCAACACATGCTTCTGCAAAACATAGAAGCACCTCTGACTTGGGTGCTATCCATATATTCGTTCCCAAGGTCACTTAGTGAATTCCCAACTGTTCCAGCTCTCTTTTGCTGCAAAACAAGTGACACCAAAATAGGGTCAGGATTTGGCAGTGG